CGGTGTACCCAGCGAGCTGCCCCAGCTGATACCCGTGTTCCCCGGCGGACCCCGCTGCTGCCACCCGTGGTGGGGGGGTCCATCCCCGTCTCCAGCCCACTGCCCCCCGCCTCCTTTGGCCTCGTCATGGACCCCTCCAAGAAGCTGGCTGCCTCTGTGCTGGATGCCCTCGACCCCCCGGGCTCCGCCTTGGACTCCCTGGACCTGCTGCCCTACTCAGAGACCCGCCTGGACGCCTTGGACAGCTTCGGGTCAACCCGGGGCTCCCTGGACAAGCCCAGCGCCTTCATGGGTGAGGCCTGGTGGCAGGCACGCCTCACCCCCTTGACAGTGTGCAAGGTGCCATCACGGCTCCAGTCTCCGGAGCGGGGAGTTGGGATTACAACTGTTTGCCAAACCCCGGGTCCTGTCACCCTGCAGCTCTCGGCTCAGTGTCGGGCTGGTATCTTGTTCAAAATCGAACAGCAGAGCTGGGATCGGCTAGGACTCCAGACCTGTGGTCTGGTGCTCTCTGTCCAGCCTCCCAGGGACTGGGGTCACTAGGCCGGTGGGTTCAAGGCCATGGGCTCCTTCAGTACCACACAGCCGGGTGCCAGGAACCCAGACAGGCAACCGGCTCACATGGGCCCTTCCAGGCAGGGCTTTCCCCAGACGTGGCCCAGAGAGCTCGTGGCTGAGGGGAACTCACGGGGCTGCAGGAGCCCCGAGGGGCTTCCCGGGGGAGGTGACGGCGCCTCCTGCAAGAGGCATCTGCCAGCAGGGGGAGCAGTTGACACAGGCCCGCATGACGGAGGGAGGTCTCCCAAGGCAGAGGAGTAGGAGGGCGGGCAGGATGGGGGCCTTGAAGACCGAGCTAGTCTCGGAGGACCTGTGGCCGAGCTGCGGCCTGTCTCCTGGGGCCCGAGGGGGTGCGGGGTGTGTGGGGACGTGCTCGGCTGGGATGCTTCCCTGTCCCCCCGGGGGTGGAGTGAGGGGATCAGCATGAATAGGAGAAGGTGTGTAGCTGGGAGGCTTCTCTGGGTTCGAAATATGGAGAAGAATCCTAGGAGGGCCCCCCACCCCCTCCCGGGCGGGGCCGTGACCCCCGTGTCTTCTCCTTGCCCAGAGGACCCCAGCTCACAGGACCATCGTCCCCCCAGTGGCACTCAGAAGCCAGCCCCCTCGGTGAGTGACGTGGTGAGGATGCGTGACCAGGCACCCCATGCCCCCGGGGGTGGATGGCGAGTGGCTGTGGGCTCCGGAGCGGGGTGAGCCCTCTGCCTGGGACAAGGGGCTGCACCCCCGGGAGCAGATGGTCTCTCAGCCCTTCCCAACTGAGCCGCGTGCTGGGAGGGCGAGCAAAGGGCCCGGGGCTGGCAGAAGAGGACACGGAGGCTCAGGGGGCTGAGGAACTTCTCCAGCGTTAGGAACATCCCTGGTTTCGGGGCTCAGCCAGGCTCTGGGGGTGGGCGCGCACCTGACCAGGAGTTAGGCAGCCTGGCCTCCTGCCTCAGCTGGACAGTAGCTGCGTGGCCCCAGGGAAGTGCCTGACCTCCCCTCGTCCTGTGGGGCCTGGGAAGTGGAGGCCGGGCGTGCACAGCCCCGCGGGCCCACTCCTCTTGCTCTGCTTCATGCTGGGCTGGTTCCCAAGGGGAGGCTCTGGGGCGAGATCACGCTACCCCGAGGCTTCTCCAGTCCTATGTTCTGGATTCTTGGATCAGATAAGGAGCGCCCTGGCCGGGAGGGCAGAAGAAGAGGGAGGGTCCTGGGCTACAGTTCTGCCCTTGGATGGGGCGGAAGGGTCATAGAGCCCCCCCCATTCTGGTGCCCAGGCCGGCCCTGGTGGCTCCAGCCCTCACCCAGGGCCCAAGATGCCCAACTTCCTCTTATCACAGCCAGAGCCCTCCATGCCCAACACCGCCTTGCTCATCAAGAACCCCTTGGCTGCCACCCACGAGTTCAAGCAGGCCTGCCAGCTCTGCTACCCCAAAACAGGTAACGTGCACCCTCACCTCTGCCCCTCTGAGATGCTGGGGGTCTCCGGAGCATGGACCCCAGAATGGCAGGTCCTCGTGTGCCAGTCAGAGATGAGGCGGGAACAGGAGCAGACCGGGAGACAGTGTGGGGGCGGGGCTTGCACAAGTGCTGGGGAGGCTGGCGGGCAGGGAGGGCGCTGCCGGTGCATCTCGGCGCCCTGCAGCCCAGAGGCTGGGACCCGGCTGCGGAGTGCAGAGCCCCCTCCACGCTCCCCTGAGTGCCTCCCACGGGGTGACTGCAAACCTTGCCCAGCACCAAGGGGGCAAAGGAGTTTGGGAGAGGACACTAGCTGTGTGGCCCCAGGGGAGTCCCTAGACCCCAAATCCAAGGGGGGCGGTGGAAGTTGTTCAGAGAGGCCCAGGATTGGGAGATAATTTTCAGCTCACCCAGCGTCTCAGGAGTCTAGACTCTCAGGCTCAGGGTTTCATCTGCCAGAAGCCCACAGCCCCGAAGTTCTGGACGATATAGGGTCCCAGGTTAGAAATCTCAGCAGACTACATCCTCCCTCTCAGGGTGTTGGAGCTGGCAGGGCCTTAGGGGTCATCCAGTTACTGTCATCCACCGGCTGCAAGACCTCCCTGGCCCACCCCCCAGTGCCTGTCGCCCCTGCCTGAGTCATCCCACAGCACTCCATGGGCCTGTGGGGACGAGAGCAGATGCCATCTTGGCGGATGGCTGTGCCCATGAGGAAGTTCTTCCTTGGCTGCCTCCCTGCCCCCCACGCCCGCTGCCCCTGCCCCGAGGAAACCGACAGGCCCAGGAGCCGGTGCACACCTGGTGCTGGCAGCCGGATCTCATGGGCCCCACAGGGGCCGTTTCCTGTTGGTCTCTTTAAGGAGATCACCCCACTCCACTGTCCGGGGACAGGGGGCCCTTGGCCAGCAGATTTTAAAGGACCAGGAAGAGAAAGGAGCAGGGGAGGGAGGATGAATCCGGGCGATGCCATTCAGACAGGAAAAGAAGGGGGGGGGTGGAGGTCTGCTCTCTGCTGGGCACTGTCTTCATAATTCATTTAGGGAAACACGGAAACGCTCAGGATCACTAGAGGGCCAGGGGGTGGGGGGTGGGGTGCTGAGAAGGGGCTCTTTGAAGGGCTTCCCCCGACCCAGGCCCCAGAGAGCATATGGCATGGGTGGGGGGTGGCGGAGGCCCAGGTGAAGGAGGCAGGTTTGTAGACAGGGGGCCGATTCCCTCTGCTTGGGCCCGTCAGCCATCAGCCTTGGGTTCTGCTCCCGGAGTCACGTCCCTACATCCCTATGCCCCTGCACCCACAGGCCCCCGGGCAGGCGACTACACCTACCGCGAGGGCCTGGAGCACAAGTGCAAGCGCGACCTCCTGCTCGGCCGGCTCCGGAGCTCCGAGGACCAGACCTGGAAGCGGATCCGGCCCCGGCCCACCAAGACCAGCTTCGTGGGCTCCTACTACCTGTGCAAAGGTGGGTGGCCCGCGACAGGGCGGCTTCGCACGCCAGGCTGCTGCTCTGCTCCTCACAGGAGGCAGGTGGGCCGAGCAGGTGTGGCCCTTCGAGGATGAACCCCACATCCAGAGAGCGGCTCCCACCCGGACCAGCTCTGCAGACGGGCGGGGACATTCGGTGGCCGCGCTCTCGAGTGAGAGGGCCGCACAGTTGGTGGAGAGCTAGCCTGCTACTGCGGCAGGGCCCACGGCTGTGGGAAGGTGCGGAAAGAATCCGTGTACAGCATTGAGGACTGGCACATAGTAAGGCTCGATTAATGTTAGCTTTTATTTATTTTTTTTTGTATTTATATTTTGTTAACCCTCACTCGAGGATATTTTTCCATTGGTCTTTTATAGAGCAGTGGTTCTCAACATTCTGGCCCTTTAAATACAGTTCCTCATGTTGTGACCCAACCATAAAATTATTTTCGTTGCTACTTCGTAACTGTCATGTTGCTACTGTTATGAATCGTCATGTAAATATCTGATATGCAGGATGGTCTTAGGCGACCCCTGTGAAAGGGTCGTTCGACCCCCAAAGGGGTCGCGACCCACAGGTTGAGAACCGCTGTTTTAGAGAGAGTGGGAGAGGGAAAGACAGAAAGAAACATTGATGTGAGAGAAACACATTGATGGGTTGCCTCCTGCACATGCCCTGACCAGGGCCCGGGCTGGGGAGGAGCCTGCAACCAAGGTACGTGCCCTTGATTGGAATCGAGCTCGGGACCCTTTGGTCCACAGGCCAACGCTCTGTCCACTGAGCCAGACCGGCCAGGACAATAAATGTTAGCTTTTAAAACGTATTCTGTTGCCATTGCCCTCATGCCTGGCTCATGTCAACTTGGTTGAAATTTAATAGACAGTTATATACCTTATATGCTTCTACTCCTCACCCAGGCGTCTTGGTGCGTCTACATAGCGATATACGACAGTCACAATATTGTTAAGTGCTTTCTATTGTCACCTTTTTGTACCCACCGTCACGCATCCTCAGACTCTGGGTGGAGCCTGATGATAGCCATGTTTTGCAGATGAAGATGTGACTCCCCACCCCCACCCACCCGGGTGTAGAGCAAAGAGGAGGCCGCCCCTCCCCGGTCCTGGTGGCGGGCAGGGCAGCGCCCACGTGTCGGAGATGAGCCCAGGGCCCGCCGGGGGGGTTGCTGGCACCCCCGGGCCGCAGCGGCGGTCCTGGGGGCGCTGGGGGCCGCCTTCCCGCCTGGCAGAACGTGTGTCCTGTTGCCTCTTTGCAGACATGATTAACAAGCAGGACTGTAAGTACGGGGATAACTGCACCTTCGCCTACCATCAGGAGGAGATCGACGTGTGGACCGAGGAGCGCAAGGGCACCCTCAACCGCGACCTGCTCTTCGACCCGCTGGGGGGCGTCAAGCGCGGCAGCCTCACCATCGCCAAGCTCCTTAAGGAGCACCAGGGCATCTTCACGTTCCTCTGCGAGGTACCTGCCCGCCCGCCCCACCCCCACCCGTCCACAGGCGGTGGCACAGGCAGGGCTGGGGAGGGCTCCCTGGCGCATTCCGCTGGAATGGCAGCCCTGGAACAGGTGGTGTTGGAGGCCTGACCCTAGAGTCCGTAGGTCCTTGGACTGTTAGAAAGTTAGGCTCAGAGGCTCGGTCACGCTAGAGCCCCGATCCTGCCCAGCCCCTCACCGAGGACAGGCGGACACTGAGGCAGAAGAGAAATGATCACACCTGCTCTTCCCTCCGGCCGTCTTGGGCCAAGCTGGGGCCAGGTGCTTTAGGTGCTCGTTCCACCCCCTCACCGCCTTGTCCGGTGGTGCTGACTTCAATGCCCGCTGCACCTCCCTGTCTACTTCTCTGCGTGTGTGCAGCCTGTATCCTCTCCCGGGAGCATCCTCAGACCCTCAGGCCCAGCTGCGATTCAGCCGGCCCCACCGGCTGCCGTTCATTCCCTCCCCTGAGCTGCCACAGAAGGCCCCCTGCGCCCTGCCTCCCCACCAGCCACAGCCTGTGAGGGTCCAGATCTGCGGAGGGGGAGCTCTGGTCCCGGATGCTGGCAGGGTTTGGTGCAGCTCAGCCCCACCCCGTCCATCACACAGCCAGCCCTCCCTCCGACTCGGAGCAGGCAGGCAGCCGCGGAGAGCAGGCCGCCTGGGGTCAGCTCCCCGTCGGACGCTGCATGTACTTTACAGAGCACTGCGGTTCGGTTCTATCCTTTCTGAGCTTCACAGGGAACCTGTGGGACAGCCCCTGTGTGGTTATCCCCACTTTACAGTTAAGGAAACTGAGGCTGAGGCACGGAGTAACCCTTGCCCTCGGCCTGGCATGGTGAATCCCCACGCAATGCAGGGTGGGGTCAGAGAGCCCGGGCCAGGGTACCTGTGAGCAAGAGCCAGAGAGGCAGGGACCGCAGACCCTGGCCCTCCCTTCCCCGACTCAGGCACTCAGAACAGGGCTTTCGGGGACCCGTCTGTCCACCCCCCACCCTGGGTGGTCATGCGGGTTCCAGCCCAGGCCCTCCCCGGGCAGATCTGCTTTGACAGTAAACCCCGGATCATCAGCAAAGGCACGAAGGACTCTCCCTCCGTCTGCTCCAACCTGGCTGCCAAGCACAGCTTTTATAACAACAAGTGAGTGTCACCCACAGCCCAGCCCGGGGAGGGGGGCACATGGAGAGGCTCCCTGGGGTGGCTCAGATGCCTGGGGAGCAGCTGAGTCAGAGGGTGGACGGAGGGCATCAAGGCGAGGGGCAGAATTTGGGACTCAGAGCCGGCACCCACCTGGAAGGGACAGACAGACCCCCTTGATGGAGCAGCTCTATTCCAAGCCTCCTTTTGGGTATCACTTACCCCCTAGTCCTGTGAGGGCAGAGATGCCATCTGTGTTGAACGGATGAGAAAGTGGGAGGCCGCGCCTCTGACTCCTGTCTGGTGCCCCCACTCTCCTGACATCAGCGACGGCAGAGTGGGAGGGGCTGGGTGAGCCAGGCGCCCACGTTCGCTCCCTCTGACCCCCTTGGCTCTGCCCCTTCGGGGACGGTGGAGCCAAGGCCCTGGAGTCCCAGCTGGTCAGGGAGCGGCCTGTCCTGTGTCCTTTGGCCGCCCTGACCCTTGGGTCCTCATCGTACAGTCGGTGATTCCGAGTCTCCTAAGGTTGCTGGGAGGGTGATTAACGTCGCTGGCCCGAAGGAGCTGCCTTAGTATTCCTCTGGGGGCAGGACCAGTTCTGGAGCATCGGGCTGGGAGCCCGAGGGAAGTGCCCCTTCTCCACCCGTGGGCACTCCCTTCTCCCAGCCCCGTAGCAGGTGGTAGCTGTGGTCCTGCTCCTGCTGGCAGCTCTGCCCTTGAGCTTGCCCCAGACTGAGGGGTGCGGGGCCCACAGCTGGACTCTAACCAGAGCTGCCGGAGTGTGGGACCCCCTCCCCCCTCCCCTGCCGCCTCCTGTGCCATCGCTTGTAGATGCGGTCAGCAGGCAGGAGGCACCCAGGGAGGAGCCCCTCCCTCAGGCCCAGCAGGAAGGGGCTGCAGCCTGCATTTCCCCACCCGCCCCCAGGTGCCTGGTGCACATCGTCCGCTCCACCTCCCTCAAGTACTCCAAGATCCGCCAGTTCCAGGAGCACTTCCAGTTCGACGTGTGCCGCCACGAGGTGCGCTACGGCTGCCTGCGGGAGGACAGCTGCCACTTCGCCCACAGCTTCATCGAGCTCAAAGTCTGGCTGCTGCAGCAGTACTCAGGTGGGGCTGGGCGGGGCCGGCTCCTGCGAGGGGGGTGGGCAGGTGGAGAGAGGGGGGCGCCTCCTGGGGGGCTCCCTGGGGAGTGGGGAGCCGGTGCTTCCTAAACATCACAGAGGCTCTGCTCCCAGGCAGCGGCCGGCTCCGAGGATCCAGGTTTGTCCCTCTCCGGGCACTGCCAGGGGGGCGGGCGGAGGCAGGTGGAGGCAGGTGGCACCAGCACCTCTCGGATCGCTGCCTCTCCTGGCTGAGCTCCTTCAAGGACACCATGTCCGCTCTCGCCCTCCCCAGGCATGACCCACGAAGACATCGTCCAGGAATCCAAGAAATACTGGCAGCAGATGGAGGCCCACGCGGGGAAGGCCAGCAGCAGCTTGGTAAGGCCCTGGCCTTGGGATGCACATCATTTCAGATTTACTAGAAAATTCTAAGAATCGTACATAGAATATGTATACCCTTTTCTGGATTCCCAGATGTTAACATTTTACCACATCCCACGCTTTGTCCCGTGTGTGTGTGTGTGTGTGTGTGTGTGTGTACCTACACATATACATTTATAAACAGAAGGCACACACTTTTTTTTCTGAACTATTTGAGAATAAGTTGCAGACGTGATGCCCCATTTCCCCTAAATACGTCAGCGTGTGTTTTCTAAAAACACAGGCGCTCTCTTCCATAATAACCGCAGGACAGCTACCAGCACCACAGTTAACATCGGCGCACCTGTGCAGAGCCTGGCGTGCTGCGTTCAGGGTTTGCGAGTCATTCCCAAATCCCGAGTCCCACGCGGCATTCCCACTGTGTCTCTTTAGGGTCCTTTAACCCAGAGCAACCCCTCAGTCTCTCTGTCTTTCATGACCTTGACATTTGTGAAGAGCCGGTTGCTTTGTAAAAGGCCCGTCCGCCCGGGATTGTCCGATGGTTCCTCAAACCCCAGGGTGATGTTATGTTCTTCTCGGGTCACTCGGCGGGAGGCATGTCGTCTGACTTGTCCTCTTACTGGTGATGACTTGACATAAGGTGCCTCACTGTGCAGGTTTCTCTGCTGTGAGGTTGTACTTTCCCCCTTTGTCGGTAATAACTGTCTTCCGGGAGGTACTTGAAACCATGTCAATATCCTGGTGCCCCTCACACTTTCACCCCCTGATTGTATCGCCTCCCCTCCCTCTGGATCCTCACCCGGGTCCTGAAGATGGCACTGCGGCATCACGGCTTCTGCAGACGCGGGCACGGGGGCGCAGGGCATTCTCGGACCTGCCCAGGGGCACACTTCGTGGAGTAAATCCCAGCTTCTCTGACGTCTGGTCTGGAGCTCGCTCTGCTCCCTCCCACCCTGCACCATGCCCTTCACCCCTGAGGGCTCCTCATCCATAAAATGGGGACCATAGTCCTGCCTGCCATCTCCCAGGGTAGGGTTGAGGCTCACAGGAGCCGATCATGCCGCAGCTCGCCGACTGGCCCTGAGCCATCCCCATCCTCACCCCTGCCCCAGGAGGCAGGGATCCTTGTAACTTAGGTGACAGCGGGGAGAGAAGGGGTGGCCTCAGGGCACAGGAGATGGTGACTGTGATATGATGCCCCTGTGCCATCCACACAGGAGGGACGACCCCCTCACTCTGCCAGGCCCACCTGAGGCCAGCCTGGGTGTGGCAGGGAGCCAGGGAGCAGGGCAGGCTGGTTGGTCAACAGAGCTGCCCAGCCCCCTCGGGCCTTCCCTCTCTCTTCTTAGCCCCCTTGTTGCTGGTCCTTTTTCTTTCTCTCCCCAATTCCTGGTTGCTTCCTTCCTCTGTCCCTCTCCCATGGGTTTAGTTTTGCTCCTGACCGGGCACCAGTGAGGGGCTAAGCCTGGACGTGCAGCATCACCTTCTAGAGAGAATACTGTCCTTGCCACCACCTGGCCTTCTGACCCCCTTCATCCCACCCAGGGCGGCTGCCAGGGTCCCCAGGAACAGGGCAGGCCTGGCTGCTCAAGGTACCACGATAGCTTTCCACCCCCTCCTGCTGCCAGACCCCCCCTCCCCACCAAGATGCCTCTCTCGGGCCTGGCTCCGGAACAGGGCTTCTGGCCAGGCCCGGTCATGTGGGCATGGGCGTCTTGTTTGTTTGCCGTCATAGGGTGGGGCCAGTGGCACTGTGGGACCGAGAGCGAGATGCCGGGGTATCTGGCCAGGGCCTGTGGCACAGCTGGGCCATCCGCGAAGAAGCGCGAGCACCTCCCTCTCGCCAGGCCCCTGTCCTCGGGCCGCCTACCTGTGGGTGGGTCAGTGACCTGGCTGAGCCACGAGGGGAATGACCCCCCTCCCCCGAGGCTGCAGCGGGGGGGGGGGGGGGGGGAGCCTCTTTTTAGATAAATGAATGGTATTTCCATTTGAATTTCCCGCCGGAATAAACCCTACCTGCGGATCGAAACCCACCCACACACCTCCGAGGCAGCTAGATCCCAGAAGATGGGCGCCGCGCCCCAAGATAAGGCCTTGTGTAGGCCGGGCCAGTGATAAAGCTGTGGTTTTATGCCATCATCGGGACAACGTGTGTGATCCTGGGGCGGAGCCAGGGCTCAGTCAGCACCAGCAAGGACAGAACCCCTTCCTGCCCCAGGGCAGCCCCTGGGCTGGGCAGTGCCAGGGACAAGTGCACCCGTGGCCGGGGACTCGAACCTGCAGCCTAGAGGAGAGAGTGCTGCCTGGAGGGGTGGCCCCGTATCAGATTCCAGGGAGGCTGGGAGGCTCTAGCTGACGGAGGGACAGCGAGGTTGCAGGGAGGGAGGCTGAGTGGGCATCTTCTCACCGCCTGCCCCACCCTGACCCAGGGATGCTCAAGAGCAGGAGCTCCTGCCTGCAAGGGGAAGGCTGGGGCAGAGGACGGGGCATGAACGCGTGGGATTTAGAGTCCAGGGCTGCCCAGTGGTCGGTCCCACCGCCCATCGCAGGCCCCTCCATCCCCACCCGCTGCAGGGGGCTGTCCACCTCCTGGGCGCTGCTCTCCAGCAGGCCTGGCCCTCGTAACTGGATGAGTCCGTCAACATGGGGTAGCTTGGTACTGTGGGAGCTCAGAGGATGGGCAGCTGCCACTTAGGAGAGCTCTAGGAAGGCTTCCTGAAGGAGGTGCTTGAACTGAGTCTTGAAAGTTTCTAGACCAAACCCATGAAGAACGGAGAAAGGGCATTCCAGGAAGAGGGAACGGCGTGTGCAAAGGCAGGGAGGTATGAGGTCGCATGCTGTGCCCAGAGAAATGCCAGCAGCCCCACAGACCAGGCTGATGTGGACTAGCCAGCTAAGGCGGAGAGCACTGGATCAGGAGTCAGGATTCCCATTCCAGGCCTCGCTCCCACATGGAGCGGCTACGGGCCTGGAGCTGGGGGTCACTTCCTACCAGTAAGTGGTGATGGACCTGCCCATTCTAAGGCTCCGGGCAGTCCTAATGCCCCTGGAGGGGCCTTCCTGCTGGACCTCAGGCCTTAGTCCTGGTGCCTGTGGCTTCACCAGCCCCTCTGCCCACAGGGTGCCCCGCGGACACATGGGCCCAGCACCTTTGACCTGCAGATGAAGTTCGTGTGTGGCCAGTGCTGGAGGAACGGGCAGGTGGTGGAGCCTGACAAAGACCTCAAGTACTGCAGTGCCAAGGCCCGGCACTGGTGAGTGGGCGCGGGGTGGTGGGGCACGGGCACTGGTGAGTGGGCGCGGGCTGGGGGGGGCACGGGCACTGGTGAGTGGGCGCGGGCTGGGCAGGGGCACGGGCACTGGTGAGTGGGCGCGGGGTGGGCGGGGGCACGGGCACTGGTGAGTGGGCGCGGGGTGGGTGGGGGCGTGGGCACTGGTGAGTGGGCGCGGGCTGGGCAGGGGCACGGGCACTGGTGAGTGGGCGCGGGCTGGGCAGGGGCACGGGCACTGGTGAGGAGGCCACACAGCCAGAGGCTCTGCCCTGCCTCCCTGACGGCCCTCGCTCTGCCCTACAGCTGGACCAAGGAGCGGCGGGTCCTTCTGGTGATGTCCAAGGCCAAGAGGAAATGGGTGTCAGTGAGGCCACTGCCGTCCATTCGCAACTTCCCACAGCAATACGACGTGAGCGCTGGTGGGGCAGGGTGGCAGTGGGACCTCAGATGGGTGCGCGGGGCCCCGGGAGGGCTTGCCCTCTGGTGGGGCAGCGATGCCACCTGGCGGTACTCAGCAGGACTCCCCTCGCCTCCCACAGCTCTGCATCCACGCGCAGAACGGCCGCAAGTGCCAGTACGTGGGGAACTGCTCCTTCGCACACAGCCCGGAGGAGAGGGACATGTGGACGTTCATGAAGGAGAACAAGAGTGAGTGGCAGATTGGGAAGGCGGGGCCTGGCCCTGTGACCCTCATGGCCGACACCCCGACTCCTCAGCAGCCTGAGAGCATCTCTGCCAGGGGGCCCTTCTCCAGGTGACCAGGCCACACGCTCTCTGGTCTTCTCTCTGGGGCTGACTGGGCAGCCAGCAATAGGGCCTGAGAGGCCCCAGTTCTCCCGCAGGAGTCGCAGGGCAGAATGGAGGGCGCATCCTCCCCATGCCCTCTGTCCGTCTCCCTCCAGTCCTGGACATGCAGCAGACCTACGACATGTGGCTGAAGAAGCACAACCCAGGGAAGCCGGGGGAAGGCACCCCCATCAGCTCCCGGGAAGGGGAGAAGCAGATCCAGATGCCCACGGACTACGCCGACATCATGGTAAAGCCCACGCGCGCACGGGCAGCGGGGAGGGGCGCGGCCTCCGGGCGGAGGTGTGAGGCGCGGGCACCCACGGTGGCTGTGCCCCCAGATGGGCTACCACTGCTGGCTCTGCGGCAAGAACAGCAACAGCAAGAAGCAGTGGCAGCAGCACATCCAGTCCGAGAAGCACAAGGAGAAGGTCTTCACGTCCGACAGCGATGCCAGCGGCTGGGCCTACCGCTTCCCCATGGGCGAGTTCCGGCTCTGCGACAGGTGCTGGCGGGGACGGGGGCGGGGAGGGCGGAGAGGCCGTGGCCCCGGGAACGGAGGCCGTGGCTAGCTCCGGCTCTTCTGGGCCCGGAGGTGGCACTCAGGGGATGGTGTGTCCAGAAACAGCTGCTCCTGGACATGAGGAGCCTGGCGCCGGGCAGGGCAGGGTTGGAGGGGTGAGGAGGGTGGGCCTGGCCAGACCCTACTTCGCAGCCCTGGGTCCCTGAAAAGGCTGGGCCGTGCCAGCTTGCAGCAGCACCGAAGCTCCCCGGGGTGGAGCTTGTCTTGGGGGAGGCTAAGCGGCTGGCCCAGGTCCGGCAGCCCGAGGTGGACAGGGCACAGGGCGTGGGCAGTGAGCCTCCTGCTGCCAACAGGCTCCAGAAGGGCAAGGCCTGCCCGGACGGGGACAAGTGCCGCTGCGCCCACGGGCAGGAGGAGCTCAACGAGTGGCTGGACCGGCGCGAGGTGCTGAAGCAGAAGCTGGCCAAGGCCCGCAAGGACATGCTTCTGTGTCCGCGGGACGACGACTTTGGCAAATACAACTTCCTGCTGCAAGAGGACGGCACTGCTGGTGCCGCCCCCGAAGCCCCTGCTGCTGCCACGGTCCCCGGGGAGTAGGCAGGTCTGGCTTGTGGGTGAAGTCCTAGGGTCAGGGGTGTGGATGGGAACAGAAGGCCTGGCGGAAGGGCCGGGGCAGCCTGGGGGTGGGGGTGGGGGGCGTCCTCATCAGGCAGCCCCTGGCCCTGGAGGCCCTACCCATCCCATCTGCACCCACTACCCAGTGTGCAAGCCAGGTGCACGTGCTGCGGCCTCCAGGGGTCCCAGGGTCCTCACCCTGCTGGAGCCCTGGGCAGCTCCCTGCCCCCAGCCCCAGTGCCCCTGGTTGGACCCCTCCAGCTTCAGCTACAGCTTTAACTTCTGTCTGCTCCTGAGGGGGGCCTGAAGCTCAGGGCTGGGGAGCCTGGGGTCCCCACTTGAATCTGCAGCAGGAGGGTCCTCTCTACCCACCTTCATTCCACCCCCACCTCCCTGGGGACAGATCAGGACATAACAGAGGGTAGGAGGCCCCAGTTAGCTTTAAAATGCAGCCCCAGAATGGAGCTGGGACACGGTATTGGTCACTTACCCCTCTGGGGCCTCAATTTTCCCTCCGGTTGGAAGAGTGGGAGGGACTGGGGTCTGGCCCTTTAGTGAGGCCGCCAGCCCAGCCCAGCCCCTCTCATTCTTGAACCACTGAATGTAGATTGTAGATCCTCAGAGCCTTTGGTCATGACCCAGCCCAAAGCCCCCATTCTACAGACAGGAAAACTGAGGCCTAAAGGGAAGGAGTGATCTACACAGGGTCTCCATCCCACGGCATGAGGTAGACCTGGGGTGCAAACTGGTCAGGAGACTCAGGGCCCGTCATTAGGTATGTGACCGCCTCTGCATCAGTGTGCAGCTGGGGTCCCAGGCAGCGCCACCCAGGGGCTGGGGAAGGAAGCTCAGGGGTTTGGTCTTGTCAGCACGGAGGAGGGGAAGTCCTCTCCTGAGGATGGCTGTGGGGAGCTTCCAGCAGAGGTCTCTTCCCACACCACTCAGGGACAGGTGGGAGGGGCAGGGAATGAGGTACTGAGGTGAGGGGATGCTGAGAGAAGGGAGACATGCCCCTGGGGCATCATGGGCCATTCTGGGACCAGACACAGCCCCTCTTTTGGGGGGACCCAGCATGGTCCTCTCCCCCTTCTCCCTTAGACCCAGAAGTACAATTATGACTGTCTGTCCTGGCCCCTCCCTGCTCCCTGGCTCTGCCAGCTGCCTAGGACCCCAGCTGACCCCCCAGCCCCTGCTCCCACCCACCAAGCCCCTCTCCTGCCCTCGTGTAGCCTCATGTCTGTGTGCACCCTCTGGTCTCCATCCCACCCCCTGTGTGCAGGCCCCGTCTCCCCTGGTTCCCTAGACATTCCAGAATGCCCCACACCATTGGCACAGAAGTGGGGCTCCCCCAGAAGGAACCAGGGACCAAGGCTGGGGTCGGGGGTGAGACGGAGAGAATAGCGCACCCCTTACTTCTCCTCAAGCAAGGATTGACAGCGTGTGATGATCCGATGACGGGCACCCGGGCTGCAGAGAGGCCTGTTTCTCTCGCCACCACTGCCCACCCTTTCCCCAATAACTGAGGCATGCATCCCTCCCTCCCCCTGCCCCTCCCCCCGCAGGCCAGCACTGCAGAGTGGGTGCTGGTGGCGTGGCTGGAGGGCAGGAGAGACCACACCCAGTGTGGGGGCCGTGGCCATGAATGTCAATGACACTTGTTTTCCCTGGTCCGTGGTGTTGCCGTCTGTTGTCACCAGCCTTGTTTTTAGTGTGTATATATGTCGCCCCCGTGATGCATATATACACAGGTATTAAATATATCGCTCTATATAATATTATATACGTGTGTGGTATCCAACGAATCACTTCTATTGAGGGCTAAAGATAAAGAATTTGGCCAGAAAATGCAGCCACCCTGGTGTAATGTGGAGAGGTGTTCAAGGTCCTCGGGCCATTTCCGGGGATTCCGGGACTAGGGCCAGGGCCCGAGTTGACTGGGCACAGGGGCAGAGGTGGCTTTGCTGGGGCCCAGCTCTGCTGACAGCTTCAGCGCCCCCTCCTGGGAGCGAGCAGGAGTGCGCAGGGACAGCACAGGATTGGTGTTTCTCTCTCCCCCAAGGGAAAAGGCTTAGAGTCCAGATTTTTCTTCAACCCGTTTTCGTCCCAGGGCCTCCGGATCCGGGCCTTCCTGGCCTGGCCGAGCTGGATCCCTCGCAGGAGGCAGGAAGGGGCGGGGAGGGAAGCAGGAGTGCGCTGCTCGGAAGGATGAGGGCGATTATTTCAGTTGTGATCCTGACTGGGAGGCTCGGAGAGGGGAACCAGGGCCTGTGCCCGCCGCCATCAGGCAGGGACAAGAGGTCATGCAGCGTGGTGACCGGGCAGGCGCCCTTGATGGGAGTGTCCCTTTGGGGCGGGACAGCCAGGGATGCTGCATTTCTCAGCGGGGCAGGAATCAATCCAATGGTCCTTTTAAAATGTGTATTAAAATTTTAAGAATACCACACTTTAATATTAAATATTCATAAGGTCTAGTATCTTGATAATAATGTAGATGTTTTAATAACGATTTTTGTCCTTCTTAAAATAAAATGAAAGAAACTCGCTCCTTTCAGCCTTTGTTCTAGAAAATAAACGTGTGCATTTTGACCTCTGTCCCCCAGGTGTCGCTCCTGTTCCTCCCTGCCCGGCACTTGTGCCTTGGGCAGAGCTGGCTGGTGCCGGGCAGGCCTCAGCCAGACATTCCAAGGGGGGTGCAGGGCAGGTCTGTCCCTGTGTAAACAGGGCAACTCAGCTGACCCTGGCTCGGGCAGCCTGGGCCGACGGGGACAAGCTGTGCTCTGCCTAAGTGGCCCCAGTCGCCACCCTCTGCTGGCTCTTCTGCAGCCTGCCTGCCGTGGCGCTCCCTGCAGGCTGTCCAGCAGCACCCACGCCTCCCTGCGTTCACCATGTGCACAGTCCTGGGGTCCAGAGGTCTAGCTCAGTGCCCTTTCAGGGTGTGGCTTTTCCAGAAAGGTGAGGGGTCATGTCATGCTTTGGAATATGATCCTGACCGCAACCCAGACTCCTCTGGGCCCAGTCACATGGGCTTCCTCATCTCTAAAAGGAGAGTGTGTGTTAGGCCAGGAATTCTCAGTGAGGAACATCTGTATCTGCTGGAGGTGCTTTTCACATCTCGGATTAGGTGTGGTTGCAGGTGATGGAGGGGGCACCTGGTGGGCGGGGCTGCACGTGCTCATGCGCAAGCTCACCAGACAGCTTGAAACAACAGTACAACCATAGCTGGTTTGGCCCAGTGGATAGAGCATTGGTCTGCGGACTGAACAGTCCTAGGTTCAATTCTGGTCAAGGACACATGCCCGGGTTGCGGATTTGATCCCCAGTAGGGGGTGTGCAGGAGGCAGCTGATCAGTGATTCTCTCATCATTGATGTTTCTCTCCCTCCCTTCCTCTCTGAAATCAATAAAAATATTTTTTTAAATAAATAAACGACAGTACAGAGGTTCCAGGAGCAGAGGTCCAAGACCTGGGACTTCTCCGAGAATAGGGAGCCATTTGGGCCTGGTGTACAGTAGGGCGAAGATGCTTGAAAAATGACCAGAGGAAGAGCAGCAGCCAGTTTGACTGAGGACCTTCCGTGCACCAGGCTCTGTGGATGCAGCTGGTCTGTTCACAACAACCCTGCACGGTCAGCACAGGTTCCAGGACCTTCAGGACGGAGGTGGCAAAAAGACCCAGAACCACTGGGAACTGGCCGATCAGCAGAGGTCCCTTCAGCTCCGAACTGGCCGATCAGCAGAGGTCCCTTCAGCTCCGACATCTGGGGTTCTCAGCATCCCTGGCCACGCCCAGAAAAACCCAAGTGGCGTGACCAGGTACTGCTCCCAGAAGAAAAGTGCAGCCCCATCCTGGCCTGCATCACCACCTCCCTTGAACTCAGGAAATCAAAGAGAGTAAAATAAGGAAGTGGACTAAGCTCTTAAGTTCTCACAAATTCCCCTAAATTCTCCTCTGGTCCTTGTTTAGCTCGGGCTTGTAAGCATGAACTGAGCACCCACCCCATCTCAGATCCTGGGGATGCAGATTACTGAAGAATCATGGCTTTCCCAAATCCACCATCTGCTAGGGAGACAGACCTGCAGGGATGAATGTAGGATGATGTGACAGGCTCAGTTGTGGGACAGACACTCCAAGCGTCGGGGAAGGTACCTCATCAGGCTGAGGGAACCGGGAGGGCTTCCTGGAGGAGGTGACACTGGAATTGAGGCTTTAAAAAATTGTATCATTGTAATCAGTGTGCACTTACTGTTCTGCATCTTTCTTTTTTTCTCTCAATTGTATTTCACATTTGCATCTCCATGCCCCAATGTAACCTAGATATTTATGGTCAGTGGCTGGCACTTCAAGGTGCCAGAGCTGGCTTGAGCAGCCCCCAGTTATTGAATGCAGGCTCGTTTCTTGTCTTCAGTCCAGTGACGAGGGACTGCAGTGACCACTACTGCCACCAGTGCAGGCTCCTCCTCCTCCCTGCCTTTGAGGAAACTGCCTTCAAGGAGAGATAACTGTCAGGGACTTGGGGGTGCAGATGAGAGCTCTGCCAGAAACTGCATCCACATATACCATGACCAGGGGAGCCATCCCAGCAAGACCTCTGAGCCAGGAAACCCAAGAAGTGCAGACAGCCCTGGCCGGTATGGCTCAGTGGATAGAGCGTCAACCTGCAGACTGAGGGTCCCGGGTTTGATTCCAGTGAAGGGCACATGCTCAGGTTGCAGGCTCCATCCCCAGGAGGCAGCCGATCAGTGATTCTCTCTCATCAGTGATGTTTCTATCTCTCCCTCTCCCTTCCTCTCTGAAATCAATAAGAATATATTTTTTTTAAAAAGTGCAGACAATCCCAACACACCTGCCATGTGGCTCCTCTGAATGTCCCCAGGCTTGTACTAGTATATGGCCTCCCCTCTCCAACATCTGCCCTCTCTAGCATCTTTTTTGTTGTTGTTATTAATCTTTACCCGAGGATATTTTTCCATTGAGTTTTAGAGAGTGGAAGGGAGGGGGAGAGACAGAGAAACATTGATGTGAGACAGATACACCGATTGGTTGTCTCCCGCACACACCCAACTGGGGCTGGGGATCAAACCTGCAACCAAGGTATGTACCCTTGACTGGGAATTGAACCCAGGACCCTTCAGTCCGTGAGCCGACGCTCTATCCACTGAACCAAAAGGCTATGGCGTCCCTAGCATCTTGATTCAGCCTGCTGATGTGGCCCGTGTGTGACCATAGGTGATACTGCTGGCTGGACACCCTGGGTGCAGAGTGGGGGTGCCAGGTGGACTGACTCAGTGGCATGAAAATTCCTTAAGGGTAGGGACTTGCCTGGCTGTGTTTGTTATTTGACTTTAAATCCTCACAAGAGCGAGGCTGGGCCAGGTATGCAGTAAGCACTCATTCCTACATAGAAGGGGTCTGCAGAGAGCTCGCAGGAACAGATCTCCGAGAATGAAATGTCATGCAGCCGGTGGGTGTTTTGAGACGTGTAGGGTACGTCCTATTGCCTCTGAAATCACGCTCCGTGGGCACCTACCCACTCCACCTTTGTGGCAAGCCTACCTTGCATGTGACAGGGTTCTTGGGCCAAGGAATGGTTACTGTACCAGCTCAGCCTCAGTCAGCCCCAGCCTGCAAGTCCAGGCAGCCTGCACACCAGGCCACCGCGTCCTCGAGTCCTCGCGTCCTTGCCCCAGGCTCACAGAGGCAAAGGGCACTAGAAGGCTAAACACAAAATTAAATGTGTTATGAGGAAGGGGAGTGGGGAGGAGGGACAGGGATAGATATGACATGTTTAAAGGATACCTTTATCAAAAGTTTTGAGCTTTGAGCCCTATACTGTTTTATTAAATTTAAAAATTGACATTAATTTTCATTCATTTGGGAAAAGAACATGGTTTGGGGAGGGCTCTTAGGAAGGGAGGGAGGGTAATTAGAAGATAAGATGAGGGCTGTTTGGAAGAGGCCAGGAAAGGTTCCTGGAATATGTTTGATTCTGTGCAAAATGGGATGTTGGAGAGCAGTGGAGGACTGCATAGAGATCAGCTACAGTAAAGGAAGCAACTGCTTATGCATCCAACTGGAGTGTCAGAGACAGCCCCAGCCGAAGGTTACAATGTCCAGTAGTTTTGGCCGGGAGACCCAGACTATCTGCACAGCTTGTTCAAGATCCCACATCAGTGTGTGGCATGATTGACAGCTGACAACCCCTACTCTGCTGTGGGTCTTCCGTGGAAGGTGACATACAGAACCTTGGCTTCAGCCACACATTCAAGTGGCCTGGGGACCACACAGGCCAGTACCCTGGTGAGAGGGCCAGGGAGAGGACTATAGCAAAGAGCCATTGTCACCCAGGTTCCTAGGATGGGCTGGGAAGCAGGACATCATCCAGGACAAGCCTGAGCCAGGTCTGGCAGAGCTGCCCCCTCCCAGCTGGCACCTGCCTCTTCCTCCCTCTCCGGAAGACCAAAGGGACCCCAGGCTGCAGGTTTGTCACTTCCCTTACGAGAACAGACTTCAGGCTCTGCAGATGGTAGAAAGCCCCAATGCCACATGCACACCCGTGCACCTAGCAGGGCACACGTGGGTCAGCTTCAAAACCCACAAACAACCCCGGGAGGCTCGCAAGCCCGCAGGTGACTGCATGATGTGCCTTCACGTGCCTGTAAGCGCCAACACAGAGTTTATCCTTTGTGCTGAGCTGCCTGCAGTGCCGAGTCTCACGTCCCAGCTGAGCTGGTTTCCATGGCAGGCCCTGCTATCCGCTGCACCAGGGCTCCTCTGTCCAGTGTGCCTGAATGTGCGGTGCACCTCGCTGTGGGCATGGAGCTGGCTTCCGGTTCTCACCTGGCAGGCCCTGGTCATGGCTCCCAGCCTGGGGGAGAACTTCCCTTAGCAAAGTTAGATAACAGCACGGTCTCCCTGTCAGAGGATTGGCGCAGTGGCTCCACGTGTTGCAGCTGGCACAAGGCCAGGCTGCCTTGCCAGGCAGCGGGAAGGGAAGGCCTGGCTGCAGCCAGGGCTGGCAGGTGGCCAATCTGGGGGGTGGATGGGCGGGCCAGGGTCCATGCTGCCCATTGGCTGCCTCCGGCTCCCGCCCCGCCCCCCTCCAGAGCCTGTGGCTCCCAGGCCAGCTTCTGCCTCTCCAGCTGCTTCTAAACTCCCAGAGCAAGCTCCTCCTGCCGGGCCATGTCGAGCTGCGACCGGATCGGGGTGGCCCCTGCCATGGACATGCCTGAGGTCCTCAAGTCCCTGCTGGAGCACTCTCTGCCTTGGCCAGAGAAGAGGGCAGGTAGGAACGGAGGTGGCCGGCATTGGCTGGCCGCCCAGGTGCCCAAGGGGTGGGGGGCAGCCACAGACACAGTGGCAGGACAGGCATCTCCAACCTAGCGAGGGTCCCCTGCAGGGGTCTATTGATCCTCGGTCCCTTCCTGAGCAGGAGGAAGGGCTGGGGTGCAGAGAGAGGCATGGTGGGAGGGCCGCTGCCACTCGGGGACTGCCCCTTCGCCTGCTAGCTGGCGGAAGCCACCAGTGTGTGGCCACTGACAGGTGTGGGCTCACACGGGCCAAGAACAGGACCAGAGGGCCCTGCTGAGA